TAGAATTCTACCGCCCTTTCCCCTTCAAACACCATTACTTCACATTTATCTCAATGTTAAGGGATAGAAGACACTTGGCACTAAATTAGAAAACGGCACCAACTAGGGGTAGGGGATTTGTTTTCCAATTAACTACCCCTCTTCGATTCCACCATAAACCCCTCCTGTGTATGGCCCTCTCAATAATCTATATTCACCAACACTGAATATGTTGATTTTGTCTTCTAGATGTAATACTAACTACCAAGGCATCTAGCTCTGCATATATTAGCCCATATCTTGTTTTGTTCGGTGCTATTGCTTCAACCAATCCAGAAATAGCCATTGATGCTTCACCCGTGCTTCGCATATACAAAGACGGTCGTGTACAGACTCCTGGGAACAGATATTGTTCCTCCATCCTTTGATCCCAAAGCCAACGTTGAATCCAAAGATGTCTTGTATTCACCTGAAAGTAACCTCTCTGCCTGGTTATTCACTCCAAAAGACATGACCAACCCTGGCGAGAAACTTCCTCTTCTAGTCTATTTTCATGGTGGAGCCTTTTGCGTAGATACTGCCTTCTCTCCTACCTATCATAATTACCTAAACACCTTAGCTGCGGAAGCCAAACTCATTGCAATATCAGTTGACTACAGAAGAGCCCCAGAGCACCCTGTCCCTGTTGCTTATGATGATTCCTGGACTGCACTGAAATGGATTGCGTCTCACTCCGATGGAAATGGTCCTGAAGATTAGCTAAACCAACATGTCAACTTCCATGAGATTTTTTTAGCTGGGGATAGTGCCGGTGCTAATATAGCACTTTCGAATGGGCATGAAAATTGGCCAAGAAAAGTTGGAGGCTATTAGCATTACAGGCATCGTTTTAGTTCATCTCTTTTTCTGGGGCAGAAACCCCGTTGGAGCAGAGACTAATGACTTAGCTGTGAGAAGAAAACTAAGGGGATTGTGGCGCTTGGTGTATCCTACAACAAATGGATATAATGATCCATGGATTAATCCCTGGAATGACCCCAACCTGGAAAACCTTGGGAGCACCAGGTTGTTGGTTTTTGTTGCTGAGAAGGATTTATTGAGACACAGAGGCTACGACTATTATTAGAAGTTGAAGAAAAGTGGATGGAGAGGAGAAGTGGAGATAATGGAGTCCCCAGGAGAGGACCATGGTTTCCCTTTGTTCAACCCCACTAGCGATCATGCTAGGGCTATGCTCAAAAGAATCGTTTCCTTTATGAACCAGGGACGAGACAAGTATACCAATGATGAAAAGGAGGAGACTAGAACAAGTTTTACAAAATTATAATGCAATCAATTAGCCATTTAGATAAATTAATTTTGACTCGCACAATTAGTTCCTTAGGTTTCTATATTCTGCTTGGCCTATAGCTATTTTATTTCTTTCCTAGTTCTGTTTTCTGCTCAATAAATTCTTGTCTTTGTAATGGCATGAATACCCATCATTTTCTCGCAAGTCAAACGGGTCAGTAGCAGATCCCAAATTTGCTATTGTCTCTAAAAAAGACGAAAGATTTTGAGAAAACTTAAAGAACTTATTTCAGAGAATAACAGAGTGCCTATGGTTAACATTCAATGGAAGAAGAGCCTATGCTTAATTTGTGAAGACAGTCTGTTGGTTTTAATCGCTGCAAGCCAACTCTCTTAGGCTCCGTCATGTGATTGAGACTGAGATTTCCAAGGGTCATCTGATGATCAAGGGTAGTCCCAGAAGACCATTTCCGGGCTTGATTCAAGATGTTGGAATCCTCCTTGCACTGTACGCGACTAAAGGAGATTACCATAGCAAAGGGTTTGCCTCGTGAGATCAAAACAAATAGCATGTGCAGCTCAAAGACAAATGCTCTTTTAAACAAAGTCTGTAGGCTTAAGAGAGTAATTGGATTGATAATACAACTATCCCGACTATTTATGATATTCAACATAGTAAATCAAAACTGACATTGTTTAGTTGTAGCAAGCCTCAAGCACTATAGTTTAGATCGAATGAATCCCAGCATAATATCAATGAAAATTGATGGTTCCCAGCCCACAGATAAAACTCATATTTTAGTAGCAAAATTTCATACACGATATGCAACAGAAGGCTTTTGATAACAGAGATGACCAAAGATGCCAAAGGGCAAAGGGGATCATAGTACAAATAGAGGTCCATTTGATAAATCTTAGAACATACCTTAATTTGTTTCTCATCTCATGAACGATCGATATAGGTAATCGTATCACATGGAAGCATCCTTATCTTGATTAATAAAAGATACGAGCCTATTCATAAGGGCTAAAGCCCTCTCCGATTTTTGATTGAACAATTGAAAAGCATGATCCTCCCCTTCAGTCTCCACAATCACTAACTCTCCACCCCACCCACTGCTCTTCAATGTCTCACAAAAGAACAGCTCCCTCTCTCTCAAATTATCTTTCTCTGCAAGAAAAGTTAGCACCCTGCTACAGCCCAGCCTGGACAACCTTGAATCCACTGCCGGGTTTATCCTAGGATCATCAAACCTACTTGTTGGAGAGACAAACAGCCAACACTTGTCCACATGACCGTCTTTCCTCCCAAAAAATGGTTGAATCAAGCAAATTCCTAACAACTTCACCCCAGACAGGTCTTCAGTTGCTGCTTGGACCGCCATGTTGTGCACGATATTGCCTCCCGCACTATCCCCAACTAAAAAAACTCGTTGAAAATCAGCGTAATCCTTCAGCCAAGCCTCGGGGCCTTCACCGGAGCAGTGAGAAGCTACCCATCTGAGTGCAGCCCATGAATCTTCATAAGCTATGGGAATAAGATGCTCTGGGGCTAACCTATAGTCAACAGAAACAGCGACAACATTTGCCTCGGAAACAAGAGAGGTAACATAATTGTGATATTCAGAACAGAATGGTGAACCCATGAAGAAGCCTCCACCATGGAAATAGACAACCAGGGGGAGCTTTTGGCTTGGTTTAACCGAACTCGGGATGAAAATACGCGCTGACACGCCTGTCTCTGGAACAATTGGGACGTCTTTGGAGGAAACACCATCTTGAGGATCGATTGATGCAGGAACTATATCGGAGCCAAAGAACCTTTCCACTCGTCCATCCTTGTATGCGCGAAAATAGGGGTGGAATTCATGGGCTATTTCACTGTCTCCTGAACTCATTTTTGAAACAGATGTATCAAGTTAGTAAAGATGATGGTGTACGACGATCAATAAATTCTCGCTAGAATTCTTGCAATGGCACTGTAATTAAATGAAGTTATTCGTGGTTGATTCCCTGACTCTCATCCACTAACTCATAGGATAACTTTCACTGTTTGGAGTCAAGTCATGTTTCACATATTGACCCATGCCCAGTGGGGCGTAGGCCCCAGAAAACACTTGGCAGTTACGGTCCTTGTCGGGTAGTTATCCATGTTCATGTATACTTTTTGGAAGGCAGAAAAGCTCTCTGATTCCTCCTATTTTGCTGATTCGGAAAAACAAAGTAAATCGAACATGTTAGATTGGCAGAATTTGAATTCTGCTAAACTAAATTGCATATATACAGAAAGAGTAGGCACAGTATAGATCAATAACCTGAAATATTCAGCAAAAAACTGAATTTTGTTTTTCATTTATACTCAGTTACACAAATAATCACCTAAGGCAATATTTAATTGTCTGGAGAATAGACTATTTTAAAGTTCTAATTAACAAGAATATTACTAATTGACAGTAATTGGTTTATCAGAAAATACATGGCAAGTGCTGGCAAAGATAAAGGTGGATTTCAACGTGAAACATGCTAGAGTGAATTATACTCTCTCTTGACTAGACAACCAATAGCCAGTCAAAGAGTTGGTATTATTTTTTCTCTTTTTTGTGAAG